GGGGGGGGGGCAAAAGTTGGAGATCAGGTCCTCGAGATGGCTCCAGAGGAATCTTCAGGGCATGTTAAATTAGTGTAGAACAAGCCTGCATGCCCCAGCCCCCAGGGTCTGGTGTCATCGGGTCCGGACTCGGACGGCGGGACTCGGCGTGACTCGGAGGGGCCCGGGAATCTGGATCCAGCTGAGAATGGCGAATTGTTTATACATAGATATTCAACCCTCGCCGGAGATGGGACCATCCATGCTCTCTGTGCCCTCATCAGTCGATAGGATCTGAGGCTTTCACACGATTCAGAAACTGGGCGATTGTTGTCTTGTCCTCTTCACCAAAGCCTTTGCTTCAAGGCCAAGGAAACGCCACTATTTCGTCTGGCATTTCATCGGCGAGCTGCGTCGTCCACGGTTGACGGCCCCTGATCTAATGTCCGAGATCTGAAGATGTGAATCTGGTGAGCTTCAACTCGAACGAGATAAGGTGAGTGGGCTAATGACTGTGGGCTGTGGGCTGTGGGCTGTGGAGGGAAGAAACTTGTAGGGCAGCTAGGGCCCCCGCCTGACCAGGACAGAACCCACCAAATCGTGCCTGTGACTGGGCGTGTTGTATGACTGACGGGCAAAACGAGACTGGGGAGATGGTGGGTTTTGAGGGAACCGGTTGATTTTTACCGAAGTGGCCGTGGCTCTTCGGTAAAAGAGAACCAGATTACATAAGAATTTCCCCAAACCAATGGGCTCCACTCCACCTCCACACAAGCCCACAACCCACGAGTCATGGAGCCTGGAAATTTAGGTTATCTTGAGTTATCACATGACTCGCGTCTGGGAAACGTCTACGCAGGCCTTCCCCGGAAAACGTCTCCGTTGAGACGGAAATGTACTCCGCAAGAAACGAAGCAGTGTGTGTTGTACAAGTGCTAATATGTCCGACTGTCCGAAGCACCTAGATCGTGTTATAATTACATAGTGGCACAGGCACAATAGGGTAGTGGCGGCTCAGTACGTTGTAACTTGTACCGTTGTAGTGGGCCGTGGCTGATTCATCCATGATCCCACGCCCGAGATACCTCCCGCCCTTGACCGCCAACTGCCGTTCGGTGTAGGATTCGGTATCCCTCGGTGTCGTCGACTCGTCGTCAGGTCAACAAGCCCCAGTAGCATTCCCAGGGTCAGTATCGGAGCTAGCTTTACAAGGTGCTTCAGCCTTCAGATGCTTCATTCCAGCTTCTTCGTCTTCCTCCTCCTCCAGCCCGTGTGGGCAGGGGCAGGGGCAGGGGCAGGGGACTATGCCCAGGTGCCACTACACTACACCGGCTCCCCTCACCCAGGCGATGACATGGACTTCATCGACAGCGGCTACTACTTTGGCATACGGACCTTTGCCAACCTCCCTTACGTCAACTGCTTCTCAGACCGCGAGTCGGAGGGGCGTCCCTACGACATTGCCGTCATTGGCGCCCCTCATGACACCGTAAGTCCTATTTGTCTACTCCTCCCCCCGCCTCCTTGTCCCTGTTCTTTGGACCCAAACATCTCTGACATATCACGCCGCCCTTGCCATCTCAACAGACAACCACCGGCAGACCTGGGGCCCGCTATGGTCCCTCCGGAATTCGCATAGGGAGCCAGAGGAAGGGCCCGGAGACGAGCATCTACACAGGTGAGTCGGCGACTTCTTTTCGCCGCCTCACGTTCCCGTCATCTGATTGTGTAGAGCAGGACGCACTCCATTCAATGAATGGGCCACGATTGTCGACTGTGGCGACGCCCATCTGACTTGGCTCGATAGCCGAGTCGCCCTTCAGCGTCTGGACAAGGCGCATAGAGTCAGTCCATGCTTCCAGAAACGAACACCTGGCTTCAGAATATCCTCGTAATGACTGACAAGCAACCTCAAAAGGTCGTAGCTACTCGGCCCGCCGCCAACTCTTCTGTCTCGCAGACCCCGCGCATCCTTACCTTGGGAGGGGACCACACAACCACCCTTTCAGCTTTACGGTCAACGTATGAGAAATGGGGCCCGGTGTCTGTCATACACTTTGATAGCCACATCGGTGAGTGACTCTATTGACCCTACGACCCTACGACGTGCCGCTTTGCTGTACCCAGAGGGTGAACTCACCATACACCTCAGATACCTGGGATCCTTCTGTTCTCGGTATGTTGCAATTACCCATAGATTTACGTTGGCCAGTGTTTGTGTTTCTGACTTGCGAATAGGTGGTGACATCTCCGACTATGCGTGAGTTTTGACTTCAGGGACAACCCCCCCTTTTTTTCCTCTTTTTTCCCCCTTCTTTTCTTCTATCATTTTCGGTACTAACCGCGACTCAGAGCCCTGAATCACGGGACATTCCTTCACATCGCCCATGAAGAGGTAAACCGACGACCCCTTATCCGACCTTTCAACCCCCAGCTTGACCTGCTAACGAGGGTCTGTCCATAGAACTTAATCTTAGATTCGTCCATCCACGCCGGTATTCGAGCCACTGCTCGGAAAAGCGACATCAAGAATGATGTTCGCTGCGGTTTCGACATGATGACAGCTCGAGACCTCGACAGACTCGGCACAGACGGCGTCATATCGAAAATCAAGGACCGCGTCGGCGACACAAACGTCTACATCAGCGTGGACATTGATGTCCTAGACCCTGCCTTTGCCCCAGGTGTGTATCGCCATATCGCCATTATACTCGCCTTTGCATCACCCGGCATGACACCATCGCAAGAATTGACATGACACGCAGGGACGGGCACGGCCGAGCCAGGAGGCTGGTCGACCAGAGAGTTCTTGACCATCCTGGAAGGCCTCGAAGGCCTCCCCGTTGTCGGAGCAGATGTTGTCGAGGTCGCTCCGGCGTACGATACCAATGGCGAGATTACCGTCCTTGCTGCCGCCGAGATTGCTTACTCGCTGCTAGATTTGATGGTGTTCAAGCCGGTCAAGTCCAAGACTGACTTGGAGACAGCTTGATTCTGGGCATATATAATCCGTTATATCCATTGTACAGGTAGGTATTCCTTGCTCCACGAAGGGGTCTGGGAACAAAATTGAAAGGGGAAAAAATACAAGGTAAAAAAAACAAAAAGAATTAAAAAAAAAGAAAGAACGCCACCCAACGCCCGCAACGATGCACCAATTCCCAGCCCTCAAACCCGACCGAACCCGTGTTTTTCTTTCTTGATTTCCCCCTTTCTTCGTCTTCTCAATCCCAATACCGAATCTGCCCGTCCATGCCCGCGGAAACAAACTTGCTCGTCTCCTGCGGATGCCACTCGAGGCACGTAATGGCCTGGTCGCCGGCCTTGAGCTTGTGGTACATCTTGCACGTCTTCCAGTCCCAGAAGCAGATGTACCCCAGGGTGTCGCCCGAGGCGAGGAACTGGCCGTCCGGGCTGATGGCGACGTCGATGGCCGTCCCGGCGTTGTTGTGCCCGCGGTACGACTTCTTGCGGTTCTGCCGGAACTTGTCCGTGGCGCCGTACACGACCACCTGGTTGTCCGAGCTCTGGTACGCCACGTACTTGCCGTTGGGGTGCAGCGCCGACCGCGTCATCGGGTACATGTACGGCTCGGCGATGTACTTGATCGGGACCGGGATGTTGTAGTCCCACGCCCGCAGCGACTTGTCGTCCGACGTGGTCATGAAGCGGCGGCCTTGGTCGACGAATGTGATGGTGTTGATGGCCGCGAGGTGGTGGTCTGAGGGAACGAGTGTCAGCTACCGGACCCTTGGAGAGAGAGAGAGGGAAACATACCGTAATCTTGCACAATTTCGTTGCCCGCCCTCGTATCCCACTGAATAATCTTCTTGTCCGACATACCCGCCACAAACTCGTGCGCGTGCTCTACCGTCGGGTTGAACCGCACCACATGCGGCGTCTTCCCCGTCGAGAAGCGCGAGATGCACTTCCCCGTCTCGGTATCCCACAGCTTGATCTGCCGATCGAAGCTCGCCGACAAGAACCGCGTCCCGTCGAGATTGAACGTGATGTCCGACACCGCCTTGTTGTGGCCCGAGTACGTCCGCAGCAGCTCCCTCTGGTGGTACACGTCCCAGATCTTGACCGTCGCGTCGGCCGACGCCGAGAGCAGCAGGTGGCCCGACCCGGGGAAGAACCGCGTCCCCGTGACGGCTCCCTTGTGGTCCTTCCACCCGTGGATCTGCTTCTTCGGGATGTAGTTGGTGACGTTGCCCACCTCCTTGCGCAGGTCCACGTCCAGGTTCTGCGGCACGTGCATGTATGTTCGCCCCTGGTAGTCCCGCTCCTCGGCCCCGTGGAACGTCGTCGTCTCCTCTCCCAGCTCCTCGACCTCCTTCCGCCGTGCGAGTGCCGTTTCTGGCGCCCGGACTACCGTGCCGCTCTCTACCACGTCGTCCTCGTCCTCGTCTGTGACCTCGACGTACTCCTCGTCGCTCGCCAGTTGCTCCCCCTCGCCTACCACCTCGTATTCCTCCTGCCGGTACCGCGCCCACGGCCCCACGTACGCGCCGTCCCCCTCGACGACCGTCGCGTCGCCCTTCCTCTCCCTGGCCGCTCGTATCCGTGCGGCTTCCTCTTTCACGGCCGCGCCGCCCTGGTACTCTCTTTCGGGCCCTCCCTTGCGCTCGATGGCTCGGTGTTTGGCTCGGAAGGTGTGCTCCGACACGTAGGTCTCCTCGGCGAAACCCGTCGGGACGTTTTTCCGTTTCACACCGGTCGTCTCGTCCTTGAACGGGTTTACGGGGCCGAACTTGGCGCGAGCGAGGTCCTCGCCCGAGTAGGGGACGACGGCGTGGTCTCGTGGTGTCTCTCGCCGCACGATGAGCGCATCCTGCGGCGCCATGTTTGGCGGGTACTCCTTCAAGCCTGACATTTCGGGCTAAATCGACGAGGAAAGCTGGAGCAGGAGTCGAATGCTTAGGTGTTGATGGTGTTATTGTGTTGAGCGGGTGGGTGTCTCTTTTTTTTTTATTCCCGTCGCGTTTCTCAAGGTTCGTCGCAAGCAAACACGAGAAAAAGTGACGTACCTAGCAAAGCATTATGTCACGTGATCTACCTCGCGATGCCATCAAAGACCCTGGCAGCTCGACATTGAAACAGCTTGAAATACTATGGAGAAATAGAGCGATTATAACTCCGATCGTCCGCCGACTAGTTAGAAGGCTCCTATTCGCACATATTGGTAGAGAACTCGACTTGCGTAGATGTCATTCATTACTTGATTAACCGCTACCACCGCCCTGAAGCTTCAACCTCCCGGGAAGAAGAAAAAACGGAGGCATAGGTAGCATACCCTTGACTCTAACGGCCCGTCCCCCCAAAATTAAGCAAAAGCAGAGTACAATCAAGGCACAGATCTTCGCGTCATTACCGTCCTCCACGTAAACAATACACTATGGCTGTTGTTCGTGCGGTCGTGTGGTGCGCATTCTTCGAAGCCCAGAAACACCTTCGACACCTGCTGGCCGGCCGATGAGAAAACAAAAAAACGAAAAGAATGGTATCCCGTCGCACTTCGTCCTCACGAACACACAAAAGTGTCCGTCAACCGCCGCTATTCCACCATGTACCCCGTTCGTGCACGTATCACTCCCAAACCCCTCCACAATCTGGTATCATGACCCAAACCCAAAGTAGGAAGAAAAGTCTAGCCCCGATTCTTGCTCGTTGTCCCTTCCCCCGTGCCCTCAAAAAAAGAAAGCAAGCCTCCCAAGTTGCATCCAGCGGGAAAACAGAAAAGACCACGTTGTTTGGCATTTGTCGCGTCGTCGTCGTCGGACCCGGCGCCAATTCCTGGCCCCGTGGAACGCCAGAACGCTGGTGTGGTTCGCGAGCAGGGGTTTTGTCGAACCAAAAAAGGGGGCGCTTATTTGGTATCGTCGCGGATGAGGGCCACGATCATGCTGTACAGATAGAAGAAAAAGAAAAGCAGGTGGAGACCGAGCTTGACAAAGGACTCCTGTGTGCCGCATATTAGTTTTCCAGGCGCTGGCTTGCTAAGGAGTGTGGGGGGGCGCGAATCCAGTTCAGGTTCGGTGTACCTTTTTATGGACATTGAGCTTTCTGAAGATCTCGGTGGCGTCCAGCAGGTGGGTGTTGTCGATGATCCTAAGATTTCGGTCAGCTTTGACTTGTCCTCGCAGCTGAGATGCTGCCCCAGCGGAGTCGGTGGGAGGGAACAGAAAGAAAATGTAGAGGGGCGGCGCATACTTCTTGGCATTGTATGCGAGAAGGGGCAAATTGAGAATCAGAGGCACCCAGTATCCGTTGATGAGAAACATGAAGGTGAGGAAGGCATGGACGGCGGCTTCAGGGATGATGTAGGTGTTGAGTCGGTTGCAGAGGTCGATGGGGTTGATGTAGTCGCTGCAGAGAGGGGAAGGATATGTTAGCCATTCTGGAACGCAGAGGAAGACGACGAAGCCTGCAGGAACGGCATCGAGTGCGCAGTTCCGACGGCGAAGTCATCTCGATTCTTCCCAGGGCGACAACATACCATTCCAAGTCGCTGTACATAATAGTAAAGAAGACCTGAAGGAACAGATTGACCGCGTTGATCAACACCGCGAAGAGGTATAACCACGCTTCACCGGACATCTTGACAAAAGTGTTTGTTCTATTCTGTGCTGATTTCGACTGGAGGTGGTGGGAGAGCTGAGGAACCCAAGGGGTTCGGAATTTCAAAGATTCGGTGAGCTCGGAATTAAGGACGTTCGCAGCGCGATGGTTTCGTTTCGGCTGCTCGAAATGGTGGATAGACGAGACGGGGAAGGAGAAATCGTAAATTGTTACAAATGTACGAAAGTACAGCTGACTGGGAAAGACGAGTTGTGGTGGATGCTGAAAAAAGAAGCACAAACACCAAAGGGATGCAAAGCAAATGTTGGGGGCGAAAGCGGAGGCAGGGTTGGCGAGTGTGATGATGATGAAATGGAAAGACTTTGTGGTGGACTCCCTTTCTCGCTTTCTCGCTTTCTCGCTTTCTCGGTCGGACTCGGTCGGGTTGCAGGAGAGTGACCCGGAAAGTGACAACAGTGACAAGCTTTCTCTCAGTGCAGTGCGACGCACAGGCAAGCCAGTGAGATAAGCAGATAAGCAATGTCAACGAAATTTAATCGCGCGGGAGCTAATCACAGCCAGCCCTAGCCCCTCTCTCTTGTGGCGAGGAACGCGTCAACCCAACCACTCTGGATGGAACTTTGCAATCTCGGGGCGCTAGGACCGCCGTTGGGACAACGCCGCTCTGCACAACGGGTGGCTGGTACATTGGGAGTAATACGGATACTTTGTATGTACCTGCAGATCGATCTGGGACAGGGACACATTCTTATCCTACGGAGTACGATATGATATCAAACAATATCAAACAATTCCAAGCCGAGGGTTGTCATATGGTCGGTCGGTAGAGAGAGAACGAGGGAACTTAACAAGTACGGCCAGAGGCCTGTTCAGCGAGGATCAATGATGAGTCTTTAGGTTTGTGGACGTCGGATGCAGCTGGGATATTCCAGCTGGGGCATGCATTGCTACTTTCTGTCCTGAGGTATCCTACTTGAAACATACCATTCATTTATTGCTTTATGATCTAAGCGCCGTTAGCGGCCGCAGCGTCGGGCATGGGCACCGGACCACCGGGCGAGTCCGGCTTCCGGGCCGTTAGAACTTCGACACCATCTTCGGTCACCAGCAGCGTGTGCTCTGTGGGTCGGGCACAAGTCAGTCTCTCATGCACAGATGAGTGATAATGAAAAAAAAGAGAAAAAGAGAAAAAAGGAAGAAAAAAAAAATAGAAAACCCACCAAACTGCGCCGTCCGTTTCCCGTCAATGGTAGTGCTGGTCCAGTTATCAGGCCAGGTAACATCCCGATACTTGCCGAGCGCAACCATGGGCTCGATGGTAAACGTCATGCCCGGCCTGCACTCGCCGACGGCCTTGTTCTTGGCGTAGTGCGGCACGTTGGGCGGGCAGTGGAACAGCCTGTTGATGCCGTGGCCGCAGTACGTCCGGATGACGCTGCAGTCCTTGGTCTTGGCGTGCTTCTCGATGATGTTGCCGAACTCGCGGATCAGCGTGCCGGGCTTGACCGCCTGGATCGCGAGGTCGAGGCATTCGCGCGCCGCCTCCACCACCCGGACCGAGCCCGGGTCCGCCTTGGCCTTGTCGCCGACGTAGTACGTCTCGTTGAGATCGCCGTGGTAGCCTCCGTAGTATAGGGTGACGTCGACGTTGAGGATGTCGCCGTCCTGCAGCACGCGCTGGTCGGGGATGCCGTGGCAGATAACCTCGTTCACCGACGTGCAGACGGACTTGGGGAAGTGGTTGTAGTTGAGCGGGGAAGGGTATGCCTGCATCGGAGAGGAGAAGGAGAAAAGTGGTTAGCGAGCACGACCGGGAGGGGTGGATATACAATGTCCCCCAGCGAAAACTGCTCACTGCCCACGCAGGAAACAAACACATACGTTGCGCTCTAGACAGGCCTTGTGGACAATCTCGTCGATGTAGTCGGTCGTGACGCCCGGTTGGACGGCGGCGGCGGCGATGTCCAGCACCTCTCGCGCCAGTTGGCACACCTTTCGCATGCCGGCGATTCCCTTGGCATCCAGTATTTCCACCTTGTTCCGGTTCAAGAGGGTCCGGTTGTATTTGGGGACGCCATCTTCGGACCAATCGGGGTGCGGGATGCTCTTGGGAACGGTGCGCTTCGGGGAGAGCGGGTAGAAGGGTCGCAGGGCGCCGGTAAAGGGGTAGGTCGGGAACGGGTTGAAGGTGCCGGTCTCTGGATCAGGTTTAGAGACTACTTTTGGAGGGAGGAGATGGTGGAAAATACTTTTCTCAGTCTTGTGTATGCTCTTGTGGGTTGCCTATAGATGATACGCAGGAGCCATGGTCAGCAGTCAGACAGACTATTCTCAACGCGCTTAAGGAACCGGAGAAAAGCTCCCATGTCTTGGGCGCACGAGGGCTAGGCCGAGGTTGGCTTACCCAGTTCTTCTTAAAGCACTCTTGTGAGCAGAAGAAACTGTCCTTGATGCCAGTCTTCAGGCATGTAGGGCATTGTAGAGAGCCTGCGTCGTTCGGGCAGTCTTCCCCTAAACACTTGCGCTTCGCAGGAGGTTCTGAAGTCATGATGAAAATCGTAAAATAAGGTAGCACAGGAGGTTGTAGACGGGGTTCTAGACGGTGGGATGCGCGAAGGTAAGAATCGACATTCGAAGATCAGCGACAGACTGTGACGGGCCGGACAATGGAGCGATAAAGCCAACACAGGTCAGGTCCAGGCAAGTAGGTATAGAAAAAACATATGCGCGCCCTATTGACGTTAGCAAGTGGAACCGAGGCGTCCGCCAGGGTAAAGGCTGGCTCATACTTCACTTGGAGGCGGAGGGTTACAAATTCGACTGGCGATACAGGCCTGGAGGGGGAAGGATTTCGCGAGACCGTTGCTAATCAGTTCACCGATAAGCGTTGGTCCCACTGTGGCCCCACCCTGCAGCCCAAGCAATGCTCCCCACCTTAGTCATCACGGAAATTTCAGGGCGTCGAAAGAGAACCCTGAATCCTTGGGGATCTTTTGCCGCAAATTAGCCGGCGCAAACGTGAGGTAATTATATTGTACGTACCCTTGCCCGGAGTGTCGTGCGACATCGGTCGAGAAATGAATCGAGACCCGAAGTTCCGAAACCCGAGACGGACGAGTAACATGTTGAGGTTCTCAGAGAGACTGAAACCTCAGCTCTTCGATTTCCATTTCATCCTCCCCTCTTCGATAACCATTAGAGGCGAGCTTCGCCAATGACCGTCAAAGAAAAGATTGTTATTGTTGGCGCTGGTCCTGTGGGCTCGCTGGCAGCGCTTTATGCCGCTCAGCGTGGTCACGATGTCGAGATATATGAGCTGAGGTCCGGTAAGTGAGATGCTTCGATGCTTTGCCTCAGATTGTCCCGTAGGAGCTAATATGTGATCCAATAGATCTGCGAGACCCGTCAACATCCCTGCTCAACTTCACGCGGTCCATCAATTTGGCCCTCTCAGAGCGCGGGATCAATGCTTTGCGTCATGCCGGCCAGCCGAAGCTCGTCGAGCATGTCCTCAAGCCCACTATCCCCATGCGCGGGCGCATGATCCATGGGAAGTCGCCCGACGGTAGCCTCTATGAAGCTTCCCAGGACTATGACATTCACGGACGGGTAATACTACTGTCCTGGCCATGATCCATCCTCCCTTCGTTCCTTGGACCCCCGCACTAACTCATCCCTGGGCCTCCAGGCCATCCTCGCCGTCGACAGGGCCGACCTCAACAAGCGGCTGCTCGACATCCTCGACCATATGCCCAACGTCCAGTTGTTCTTCAACCACAAACTGACCGGCGCCGATTTCAAGCGTCGCAAGGCGTGGTTCGAGATGATGTCCTCGGAGACGGCCACGGGACGAGCCAGGGAGATTGAAATCGATTTCGATCTCATGATCGGGGCTGATGGCGCCCACTCTGCCGTCAGATACCATATCATGAAGTTCGTCCAGATGAACTACCGTCAAGACTACATCGACACATTATGGTGCGAGTTTCAGATCAAGCCGGTGGAAGACCAGGGGTCAGATGACGGCATGTCCAAGTATAGGATATCTCCGAACCACCTTCACATCTGGCCTGGAAAGGATTTCATGTTTATCGCCATCCCTAGCGAGGTGAGGACCGAATTTGCCTTGTTTTCCTCCGCCCCTCCTCTCGCTCTCGCTCTCGCTCTCGCTCTCCCTCCCATCCCGAACCAAGAAGGTTCCTTCAACTGACGCGAATGTCCAGGACGGTTCGTTCACATGTACTCTCTTCCTCCCCAGCGACCAAGTGGCTACCCTCGAGCGAGACCCCTCCGCCCTCCCCGCCTTCTTCGACAAACACTTCCCCGGCGTGACCGACCTCATCCCGCCCGAGGATCTCATCGCCTCTTTCAACAAGAACCCCCACCTCCCCCTCATCAGCATCAAGTGCCAACCCTACCACTACGGGTCCTCCGTCGTCATCGTAGGCGACGCCGCCCACGCCATGGTCCCCTTTTACGGCCAAGGCATGAACGCCGGGCTGGAAGACGTCCGCGTCCTCTTCTCCATTCTCGACAAGCACGCCGCCCGGGAGGACAACCACCCCACAACCACCGAGGTAGACGCCGACACCGCAACCGCAACCGCAACCGCAACCGCAACCGCAACCGCAACCGCAACCGCAACCGCAACCGCAACGACAACGACAACGACGACAAAGACCGCCGCCGCGTTCCACCGCCAAGTCGCCCTAGCCGAGTACACCACCGTCCGCGTCCCCGACGCCCACGCCATCAACGACCTCGCGCTGCAAAACTACGTCGAGATGCGCGCCTCCGTGCTCTCCCGCCGCTACCGCCTGCGCAAGTGGCTCGAGGAGCTCATGTCCGTCCACGTGCCCCGCCTGGGCTGGCAGACCAAGTACTCCCGCGTCAGCTTCGGCAACGAGCGGTACTCCGAAGTCGTCGCTAAGAGCGATCGCCAGGGGAAGATCCTGGTGTCGGTTTTCGAAGCGCTGGTGTGCAGTCCCTTTGTTGTCGCCGTCGCTGTTTTGTGGTGGAAGCGGCCTCAGAGAGTCGTTGGTGCCGTCCGAGGTGTGCTCTCTTGGCTTCTCGGTGCTCTGAGTTGAGATGTCTGAGTCGTTGCAAGCGTTATACGTCTTTGTGACTATTGTCCATACTCTGCCCATTCTGGTTGGGATCACCTCTTGTTACTGTGCAGAGTCATAGACGCATAGTCGAAAGTACTCCAAGCTCAACTTCATCTACTCGCAGAATTCAGGAAGCAATACTCGTTTCCTGATCACTCGTGGCCTCTTCCCCGGTTATACAAATTCGTTCCCGACTTGGTGATGAAGGGAACGGGCAGCTGCCAACACAGGAACGATACGATGGGGCCGTCGTTGAGAAAGCTGGTTGGCTGCCTCGCATAGTCACATTGTATTCTTCGTGTGGCTTGCGGCGCTTTCCTCCTTCCTTCTCTTCCTCCCCGTTAAGGCGTAGCTGTCATTTCGCCCTCGGGGTGCCAGAAAGTAAACTGCAAATATACTTCGGAAAGCGAGATGGGTGGCAGATGGAGAGAGTTAGAGAAACAGAGTACGCCTTTTCCCAGAAGCTATCCGAGAGAAGGAAAGACTGCCAGAAAGTAAATTGGCCGGCCTGTGGTGAGCCAACCCAAACCTCGCTCCATTTATACGATATTCTGCTCTGCTCTTTTCCCTCCGTCACTTTCATCTCCAGGTTCTCTCGCACTCCCCATCGAATCCAGCTCGTCATCGCTATTCATTGCCATCACTACTTCTGAGTATCGTAACGGGCACTGCATTCTACTCGCTCTTCATCTGCTTCCCCATCGCATCGTTTTTTGCACTTCCCAACCATGTCTCAAATCGAGAAAAAGAAGCCCAACCTGGCCAAGAGGATGTTCAACCAAACCGTGCATCTCGCCAGTCAGATCATCGAGAGACTAAAGCCGACGTACTACCGGAGGGTTGAGACATTTCGCAAGCCCGGAAAAGCCAAGGTTCTCAAAGCCCTCAAAGCGTACCGCAGCAATATTCTCGCAGCAAACAACAAGCGAGTCCGTCGCGAGGCAGAGATGGGAGTCTCTCGGGAGCACGTCGAGTACATCGTAGCCCTGGAAGACCCGGAAATCTTCCCCCCGGGTGAGGGATTGGGCAACAATAACATGCAGCGAGTCTGGATGCGGCACTTGTTCCGGCTCGTCGGCCTGGAATCCCAAACGGACGAGATGAGAAAGCTCCCGGACTTGAGCAGCAACGCCTAGGAGGTCGGTCCCCTCCCGCTGGCTTTCCGGGGACCTTTCGACTTCGTCACACACTGGGACGACCGCCTACCCAGGTACACGAACCTCGACGGCGTCAAAATCCACGCGGACAGGAAGAGCCGCAACGTCTGGCGCAATCGCTATCTCGCCGGCATCCGTGAGGGCATGACAGCCTGTGGTGCCGGGGAGGTGCACTTGCCGCTCGAGTTCAAGTATATTATGCGGGAGGTAGACAGCCTCGACGGCGCGGGCATGCCTCTCGACCACAAGCTGGGACGCACCGTCCAGTTTTGGGAGGGCTTGAATGAGAGCACTTCTGTGGACGGAGCGAGTGACCTCGTGCGCCCCGGCGACGCCATTCGCGACTTGGCGGGGCTGCCGCGCGACTGGCAGGTGCGGGTGGGATGGAAGAGCGGTGCTGGCCCCAGGAGCAACACGAGCTGCTGGATCATCTACTGCGCCCGTATTGGTGAGCCCGCCGGCAGGGACGCGCTTGGCAGGAGACGAAACAAGGACCACAAGGCGTGGGCTTGGCGCTACATGGTCGTCGATGAGAAAGAACACAGCCATGTCATGTTCAACGACGTGTGCCAACTCCTCGAGTGGTGCATGAAAGATATCGGCTTGCCCTACCCTGACCTCCCGTCGATCGGCTCGATCCCGGCACCCAAACCTCAGGTAGGGACTGGGAGAGAATCGCGGAAGGCCCCAGTGGCTGTATGGATGTCAGGGGCCTGTCTCGGCGAACCGTCGTCAAAACCCGTCCTCCCCAAACTGCAGGCGCAGTGGTCAGGCCCGGATGAGCTCCATGGTAATCAACTTCCAGGTAAGCGACAAGTGATAGTCACAGACCTATCCCACAGCCAAGCTATGTGAGAGTATGCACCCGCTGACGGAATGGCCTGCAGAGAAAGCCCAAGGAAAGCAATCCGAACATGATCCCCTGACAGACTTAATGTTAATGTGTAACGGAGACATGCCTATGCCTTCAAATTCGGAATGACGGGTGACGGGTTTAGCCGTCTAAGCGGAATGGTGCATTGTGCTTTTCAAGCTGCTACAGGAGGGATGAGTGGCAGTTAGCGACTTAGATTCAGAACCGATAAAGCGTACTCACAGCATTTAGACTGTCTAAGTTTTGCCATGGAAATCTGATTTGGCCTGACAGTGATGGTGATCCGTAATTAGATGGTAATTAGATGGAAGAAGTGGTCTCGGACCTCACTACCAAGAACATGGGTCTCCGGTGGAATATTTATCCGAATCGCTTTCTGTCGGCTGACAACAATGCGGGGTCCTTCAGATTAAGTAAGCTCCGGCACCGGAGACTGAGCCGGGAATCCCACGGACTCCACCTAGCCGGTTGCGGCGACCTACGACGACATCGGGCGCCGAAGACTCCGGGACAAAACGCGCGAAACGGATGAAACGACCAATACTATCCGTTTCTGTGAAGCACAAGAGAGAACCCTCACCCAATGAAGTTCATCCACCCATCATCGCCAAGTTCATCCCATCCTTCTAGTCTCTTAACCCTCACTTGACCCCCACACTTGCACACACTTGAGATATTTGGTGACGCCATTGAGCGGGGTGAAGAAGGCCAATCTCTTGTGATCACCTAAGAGTTATACGAAAGTAGGCGTCAGGCAATAAGGCGCTAAGTGAGGGGTTATGCGTCGGGGGACAGAGGGAGGAAAGGGTTAATATAAAGGAGGGGTCCATGGTTTGGCCCTTGGGTGGGAGGTCTCCTCTTCTCCTCTTCGTCTCCTGCTTCTTCACTCTCAAGCCATCCATCTCGCCCTTTACACGATTGACCTAAGTGTCAGGTTCTCACCTGCTGAAATACTTGCGTACGACTAAGCATCACTCCCTGCATTGTTTCCTCTCGTATCATCCTTCGCGCCCCTCTCTCCGTGTTCTCTGTTCTCTGTTCTCTGTTCTCCCGTGTCTCCCCTCCCCCCTCTGTATGAAACGGCAAAGAAACTAACATGAACCTCTCACCGAGACGCAGAAACCACCCCGGTACGACTCTCTCTGCCCTGCCCGCCAACTCCTAGAGTCGGTGGCAGTCACGAGAAGAGCCATGGCCAAGTACCGGTGTTATCCACAAAAGGGGCATGGCTCCGTGCCATGAACCTCTTGTTGTTCAAGTTGTCTTCAAATTCATCGTCAGGTATTACGATATCTGGGTGTGTAATGAGCTATGAGCCGGTGTTCGGGTTTTCTTTGCATCCTGTCTGACGGATCCCCATCCACCCACCTCGCTTTCCTGAGCCAGAGGTGGAGATGTAGGGTTCTCAGCAGGGCTTCATATGCAATCCCGTTCTGAGATTATACGGCCTCAACTTGATCTGGATAATACCAGCGAAAGGATCATGCTCTCACTGCCCCTCTCCCCCCAGCCCCCCCCCTTCCTTTCCACTCCCTCGTGTGTTGTGTTAACCTCTAACACGACCTAGCTTTTACAAGCCAGACCCCATAAACCTCTAGCAACAAAATGGCTCCCGCCGCTACCCAGGTCGTTCAGCCCGTCATCCTGCCCCACAAGGGTGCAGCAGCCGCAGCCACGACCGAAGCGCCCATCGAGGACGGCGCCGTCAAGCGCGTCGACGTCGGCAAGGGCCACAGCTGGGAGTCGTTCGCCTTCCAGCCGATCCGCGAGTCGCAGGTGTCCCGCACCATGACGCGGCGCTACTTCGCCGACCTCGACAAGTACGCCGAGTCGGACGTGGTGATCGTCGGCGCCGGCAGCTGCGGCCTCAGCGCGGCCTACTCGCTGGCCAAGCAGCGACCCGACCTCAAGATCGCCCTCATCGAGGCCGGCGTGGCCCCCGGCGGCGGCGCCTGGCTGGGTGGCCAGCTGTTTAGCGCCATGGTCATGCGCAAGCCCGCGGACAAGTTCCTGACCGACCTCGGCGTCCCCTTCGAGGACGAGGGCGAGTCCAGCCCGTTCGTTGTGGTGAAGCACGCTGCCCTCTTCACCTCCACCCTGCTGTCGCGCGTGCTCTCGTTCCCCAACGTCAAGCTCTTCAACGCCACGGCCGTCGAGGACCTCATCACCCGCCGCTACGACCAGGGCGAGGCGGAGGGCGAGGGCTTCGGCATCCGCGTCGCCGGTGTCGTCACCAACTGGACCCTCGTCTCCATGCACCACGACGACCAGAGCTGCATGGACCCCAACACCATCAACGCCCCCGTCATCATCAGCACCACGGGCCACGACGGTCCCTTCGGTGCCTTCAGCGCTAAGCGTCTTGTGAGCATGCAGGCCATCGAGCGCCTCGGCGGCATGCGCGGTCTCGACATGAACTCGGCCGAGGACGCCATTGTCAAGCGCACTCGTGAGATCGTTCCGGGCCTGATCATTGGTGGCATGGAACTCAGCGAGGTTGACGGTGCCAACCGCATGGGCCCGACCTTTGGGTATGTTTGGAATCGTTTCACAACATGAAAAATGTGTTTCTTCTCAGCTGACGTTGTATGATTTTCTAGCGCCATGGTCTTGTCTGGCGTCAAGGCGGCCGAGGAGGCCATCGCCGTCTATGACATTCGCAAGAAGGAGAACGACATTTAAGGATTATTTTTCTGTGGCAGTCCAAACAAGGGGAAGAACGGAACCGGAAAGTTGTGGACTTGTCTGCCTTGTCGGCGACCCAGGTGCATAATCTCAAACGTGGCTATGAAATGAATGTCAGTCGTTTATGAGATAACAAGGGAAAACGGACAACAAGAATGAAGAAGTCTGTTTTTCTATTTTCCAGACTGCATTGCCGCATGTGTGAAGCCATTGTGTCGTCGTGTAGCAGCATGAGCTGCCGCAGTCAAGTAACTCAAGTTGCAACATCCGCGACCTCTCAGGGGTTGGGGTTCATTGGAGGCACATGTTGGATGTATATTGTACCCCTGACCAGAGTTCAGGACTTACCTACGGCCCCCAAGGCTTTTGCTTCCAAGACGTCCTCTAACCGCTGCAGTGCGCAAGCGTGTCAAGACGAGATTGAAAAGCGTCCTTCTCATTGGTGAACCTGCTGACGACGAGCTGCACAAGAGGACGTTGGGGGTTTGAAGTTTCGCCTGACGCCTTGACTGCGCTGCGCAGCCACAGGAATGGGTCGCCAAAGGGCCGCACCGGTCAAAATGGCATCCTTCAAGTACGGCAAGCGAGTCATCTGGTAAATTCGCAGCAGCACACCTGAATGGGACATGGGGGTGTCGGAACGCCTTGCAGCCTGGTGACTTCAAGACTTTCAGGTTGAGAAGTTGAGATGGTCGAGGGAGTGGGGGAGGAGGGTATGTATAAATAAGAACGGACCAGCAGACAAGCGAATAAGCCGGCACGGGAATTATGAATATCCTGGATACTCCATCTTTCCTACGCATTCCCGGAGACGATCTCAAAATCTCAAAACGTACGACAGCAACACAGTGTGTGCCTCTTTGGCTCTTCCCACCGATAAAAGCTCTCTGACGGGTGAAAATGGCAACGCCGCGGTACCTTTTCCGCATCAGTGACCGGCGAAGTCCCGGCACGACAGACATGGTCTGGGTAAAATCGCCAGTGTCGAGTGGAAGCAGGCTGGCTCGCAACGACAACGTGTACGCGCACAACAACTTGCCAGAGCGGGCCGCGGTGATGTTGAACAACCACCTGCGATGGAAGTGCGGCGGCGAGTGCTACGTCATGTCGTGGACGAATTCGCTCTTGGTCGCCGTCGTGTACGGGCTGTACCGGCATCAGGTGCATGGCACGCCCCTGTCGGACATTCGGCTGCTCATCGTCGACACGAGCAAATTCGAACGCGGCATGTTCTTTCGCGACCTGGACCTGATGGACGCGTACCGGAGCGCGGACCAGGGCCCTGACGGTCTCCAGAACATGTACGATCTGCGGACGGTGATATCGGACGGCGAGTTCTACTTCGGCGAGTACCTAAGCGTGCAAGATGTGTATGTGCGCGGTAAGTGTGCGCAGACGACGATGCGGGACTTGATGGGTTGTGGACTGGCTTCCTTCCGGCCGGAGATGACGAATCGGGACCCGCGCTGGGCTAAGAGGGTAGTGGAGCTCCGAGGGGTGTTCGGCGGAGAGATGCCCACGACGGAGACACCTGAGGTGTTGGTCCGCAGGGCGATCGAGTTGGCACGAGAGTGCTTTTGGGAAGTGCGGGATGCGTGGACGTTGCCGGTGGCGGCTATGGTGCTGAGCCTCGTGCCACGGCGACGGAATGACGAGACGATGGTGAGGGTGTTCCGAAACGAGTTTACAGGTGCGTTCTTTTCAAGGTTGACAACTTGGCCGTCTTTCACCCGTGGCCCATTGCTAACGCCCTGGGACGTTGGAACTTGGCGCCCCATGATAAGATGAATATGTCAGACGTATATCGTTTGACACGATGCATTTCGGGTCAGATCGACTGCCGGAGGTGGAACAATATGAGTGGCTCATGTGGGATCTTTGCCGGCGTGTGAGATCCAACCGGGAGGGCGCAGAAATCGAAGTCGAAGAGATTGACGACGAGGACGATACCACGAGGGGCATGAGAAGGCTATCTCTCAATTAACATTGAATTGAAAAATTCAAGACCAGGTCTTGAGCTAATCCTGTTTGGCGGGTGAGGAGAGGGGGTGGTTGTGGGTGGGTTGAAGAGGGAACAATTAACATGAATGCCATGGTCGGGATGAGGAGGTTGGCATCTGTCCGTCTCGGTCTGTATTATCTGCTTGTCTGTATTGTCTGCGTTGTCTGTTGGTTGCTTGTTGATTTCTGTTGCATAGAGTAGCGTATTCAAATATGTGTTGGTGATAATGTTTTCGATGGAAGATAGCACGGTGCAAGATGCAAGATGCAAGATAGAAGACGGTGTCCAG